TATAGCATTGTTCGTAAACTAGACCATCAGTTTTGTAGTCTTGTGCCAGACCTCCTTCGATTCTGTTTCCTTCACATCGCACTAAATGAATCCATTTTCATCCAGCTATGAGTTTAAATAGCAAGAGAAACTGGGCTCTTTTGTCCTGAGGTGACAACTACTCTAGAAGGAAAACTGTTTTTCCGAAAACAGAATCCAAAACAAGCCTGATGAGGGACGGGCTTCGGCAGGCTACTTTACGCAGTTTCTAAGGCCACAATACACGTGGTGCCCCTACAACACTAAATGGATTGTTGGACTCACAGGGTCTATGAGAAGGAGAAGTTAATTAGTACTCTAGTTAAATTTGTTTTGGGGTTTTTTTGTGGTTTTTGTTTTTGTCTTTTTTAAGAAAAGATTTTCCTTTGAAATAAATTATTATGAACGCTTTAAAAGCATTTCATTATGACAAAACCTAAAAGACGGTTGGTGAATTTAACCGAAAATACTGATTTATGTTGCTGCATTAATTGAATATGTTTAGTTTGTTACATATGTTATATACTGTTATATCTGATCATAGAAATAATAAAATATTTATGAGAGTTTACACGTAGATTAACTGGGCATCAAATCCTCAATTTTGAGAAAAATCTTCGCCTGTCTCAGGGACCCGAAGGGGTCTTGTACCGCCTTTCAAAATTTCTCTAAGAGGTCCTGCGGGCTCGTGACATGGCGTCTGACGCGACAACCTCGTGGTATACTGTCCCATACTCTGCCCCTCGGTAAACATTCGGAGATCCAATACTGTTGTTATTGTTGTTGACATGGAGTTATTTACACACACACACACACACATATACATACATATATATATATATATATATATATATATATATATATATATATATATATAAGCTAGTCACGTGATAGTCACGTGACTAATTTGCTACAATTTTTCAGATAGAAGCAAAATACTCTTTCCTTCTCCTTAACCTACAATCACTAAAATAACAAACGAGACCAAAAGACATGTTGTTTTCATGGCTGAGTTTCTCTGTATGAACATTAAAAAAAATCATATGAAACAGTAAAGTTTAAAAAAAAAAAAAAAAAAGGAAAAATGTTGATTCTGGTCAACAGTAAAGAATTAACCTTTTTTTCTCTCTCTCTCCAATTGCAACCTAATGTTGTTAATTCGAACAACTGGGCAGTTACAAGAGAGTGGGACATACTGAGGGGCGGCAAAAGAAGGAAACCTGTAGTTGTATCTTTGACCTTTCCCAGACATACAGATTAGAATCAGAAATCTCTATTAAAGCGAGATTATACCTATTTGGTTAAAACGTGATCTTCACTGACAAGATGAACGAGTTGGGTGTGAAGGGAAAAGAATAAAAGAGATTAAAAGAGACAACGAAATAGGAAGGAAGGAAGAGGGTGAAAGAAGAAGAAAAAAGAAATGAGTAAACAGGCAGGAGTGGAGAATGAATAAAGAAGAAGAGAAGAGAGGGAGAGAGAAAAGGAAAAGAAATTAATGATGGAAGGAGTGATAGAGGGAAAAGAGAAATCGGGAAGAGAGAAGTGATATGCATATCTGAAAAAAATAATGGCAGTTGACGAAAAAATAGGCTGAATAGAATGAAAAGGCAGTAAGGAGACCATTCTAGAAAAAGAGGAATAAATAAAAAAAAAAGAAAACTAAGAAAGTGAAAAGGTTGTGAGAATGATGAGGGGACTAGTAGAGATTAGTAAAAGGACAAAAGTTACTTAGAACAACTGGTGACTTTGTTTAACGTTATTTTTTTAGTGAATGATACCCATATTGGTAGACGCTCCATTTATTTATTAAACACTAAACAGTATATTGATTTACTTTATTTTACATTTCATATATGTATTAGAAATAGCGTTTAAGTAATGAAATCTGTCGGATTAATAAGTAAAAGTTCGTAACTTCTTTAGAAATTGCTTTGTTTACGTTAGGATAGGAAACTGAGCAGATATGTATATTTCGAGTCTCAAAAAGATTTGAGTTTAGGGTAGGTTTCTCTACTACTTCGTTGAAAAAGAGCATACTATGATGAAAAAATGCTCCAAACTTCATAATTTTTTTTTATCATCTAAATGTTTATGCTATTATTAAGAGGAAATAAAAAGTATTTTTTTGATTATTTTTATTAAATTTTTTCATCCTTTTAGAACATTCGAAATTTTGATTAATTTTTTTTTGTGTATATATATATATATATATATATATATATATATATATATATATATATATATATATATATCATTTTGTGTGTATATATATATATATATATATATATATATATATATATATACCATTATAATGGAGTACCATTAAAAACCATGTCTTAACCGCAGTGACTTGTTTTTGAGGTGTTAACTGACAGTTAAAATACATGGATATATTGGCAGCTTAGGACAGGGAGAAGTTATCGGATGGAAGAACAGAAGTGAAAATTTTTTCGAAATTTAAGTGAATTTATTTAATTACACAGTAATTTAAAAAAATTAACAAATACTGACATTCGGTTTCCCCCCAGTAGACCTTTGCGTATTAGTGGCAGTATCCTTGCTTGAGGTGAATATATATATATATATATATATATATATATATATATATATATATATATATATATATATTATAAATTAATTGATTTAAAATCAATTAATTTATAATATTAATGCTCTGTAAATTTACATTGAGCACTATTTTGTAAAAATAAAAATCTCTATAAGAACACCGGATTTTATATCTTACTGTTCTTTCTTTTTATATATATATATATATATATATATATATAATCACACTATTAAATCTAGATAATAAATGCGAATGTCACTCTCTCATTCTTTTTTAACTTCACACCTTTACTCCGTAGTCCAACATATCGTACCATATTAGAATCAGGCGGATACCATGAGCGAATTAAAAACCTTCCGGGTCGGATCCAGGCCCGCAATCCTGAAATTTTGCATTCACAAGTTTTCATTATTGCGATTGTTTTCGGCGATTTTTTATGTGAGTTTTTGCGACGAATTTTTTTGTACGATAACAATTTTTATAACTTGGAAATAAATTTGGGAATAAGCTAGATTCAGCTGAAGTCACCCATGAAATAAAAATAATTATTTGTACAGAAAGTAAGGACCTACGTACATCAAATTGTTTTTAAATTAAGTAGCAGCAGAATAATTATCGTTGAACTTTTAAAAGGTAAGCTTAAATATTAATGAAGTACTTAAAAACAGCGATCAATTTTGAGTTCTTCTGTAGTTTATTGTTGCCTATCGTATCTACTCCTCCCTCGCTATTGTGATGAAGTCCCAATTGGGTGACCTCCAGAGGAGGTAGCTTAAATGCTGCTCGAAAGGGCGGCTTTTAAGCTAGTATACAATATAAATAGTTCTTGACCATGTGCTACTCAAGTTTCGCCCAATCTAGGGTTCCTTCTGGATGGAAACGAAACATATATTCTGTATTCTTGATAATAATTATCTATATATATATTAAATATAAAGGGTGTTCCAATAATTTGGAATGATTTTTAATATGAATTAAGTTTAAGCGTCTAATGATTTTTTTTCTTTTTCTTTCGGATTTAACAATTTAAGTCTTTGGCAATTTCAACCATGGAAAGATTAACAATCAAACGATGTGTTAAAGTTATTGAAGCATATTACGAAAATGGACGTTCTAACAGAAATGCATTTCGTTTATTTTTTTATTATTTTTATTTTTTTGGTCAACATAATCGACCAACCGAGAGTGCAATTGGAAACGATGTAACGTTGTTGTGGAGAGGTTCAATTACTGCGCGTGATGACGAATAGAGGGGTCTGGATTTTCGGCCACATTCTCGTGAACTTTAGCAATGTTTTCAGCTGAACAGCGTAAACAGGCACGCAATGGTGTTTTCACATCTGCCACCGACCCAGTTTGTTTGAATTTACGAAAAAATTTTCCAATTGCACTCTTGAAAATTTAACATGTTGTCTTATTGTTAATCTTTCCATGGTTGAAATTGCCAAAGACTTCAATTGTTAAATCTAAAAGAAAAAGAAAAAAATTCATTAGACGCTTAAACTTAATTCGCATTTAAAATCGGTCCAAGTTATTGGAACACCCTTTATAATTATGCTCATCGGCTAAATTGACATGGAAATTCAATTAAGGGACCCACATGTGTCTTTCAGTCATGCACCATATTAGCTAAAAAAAATGTTCTTAGTGTGTAGGCATCCTGTCATTACTTAAGACATTTTATTGAATAGCTGACAAGAGTTAGGGAGCGTTATATGACCATCTTTTCTTCTTGACCAAATATGCAGAACTTGACCCCAATATTTTCGCTACTCGTTATATCATTCTAAATATGGACGCCTTAACATGGAATGATGCATAAAGGAGCTTATGTAGCAATGATTTAAGTTAGATCCCAACTGGGTGGCTCGCGTTTGTAGCCTTATGCCAGACTAAGCTCAACTGAGAAAATAAGTAGTTATTTTCTCAGCTATCTACCTTCACCCGATTTCATCTCTAGTTTCGACTTCTAAATTAAAAAAAAAGAAAAAAGAAAAAAAATTAAAAATTAAATTGAAAACAAAGACCAGCATTTGGTGACTTGTGTAGATTCAACGTCTCTCCCCTCTCCCCATTATTGCCCATCGACCCGAAAGTTTGTTGCCGTGATGGTAGGTGAGGGATTGCTTGCAATTCAAGCAGCGTAAAATGGGGAAGCTTATCGATGTAATCTTGTGTAACTCTTATTTCAAGACTTCTTTATTTACGCAAATAGCCAGGAATGCAAGCGAAATGCAGAGACTGTCAAAAGAGAGAGTGGGATGATGCGAGAGAAGCAGTGGCGATGATGGTGAAGGGGAAAGACGGGGGAGAAAAGAGCGACCCTGAAGCTGATGGGCGGTGTATCTTATATTAGTTCTTACCACTCCCGGGTCGTACTCACAGCAGAAATTGCTTTATATCCCAAGTGATGATTACTAACCTCATCTTATTTACATTCTGTTGTCACAATTTTTTCGTACATTGCGCACTTCCGGTTTTTTTTTTTCTTTCTTTTTTTATTATTTCCTTTTTCTTTTTCTTCCTTTTCTTTATTTCCATCCTTTTTACTTTCTTTCTTTTTCTCTCTTCTTTTTTCTTTTCCTTTCCCTTTTTATTTTTTCGTTTCTTTCTTTTCTCTTCTTCTTTTCTTTCCGTCTATTTTCCTTTTCTTTCTATTTTCCTTTTTCTTTCTTTCCCTTTTCTTTTTCTTCATTTTTTCTTTTTTCTTTTCTTTCTTTCTTTCTTTCTTTCTTTCTTTCTTTCTTTCTTTCTTTCTTTCTTTCTTTCTTTCGTACTGTTTATTATTTAAAGCATTTTTCATAGATTTTATTAAGTTCTCCTACATTCCTTTTTTATTTTTTATTTTCATTTATCATTCATTGTTTTACGGTTGTTTTCGTTATCTTTTCTTTAATGTTTTTTTTTTTTTATCTAATTCTAAATTCTTGATCTTTTTCTCTTCTATTTTTTCTCCACAGTTTTATCATGTATCCTTTTCTTTCTTTTTTCTTTTCTTTCTCTATGTTTTTTCTAATTATAATTACTCTCTTCTTTCTTTCTGATTTTATTGCATCTTTACCTTTTTAATGCATATTACACTGATTTTTCTGCTTTTTACGTTTATTTCAAAACTCTTTCATTCATTTTCAATCTATCTCGATTACATTGTTTTTATGTCCGCAGCCTCACTAAGAATGAAAACAAAAAACATGCAAGAGATATTTACTTTTCACTTTTCAGCATAAATTTTAAGCATCCTTGTCAAAGCACTTAATTCAACGTGTCACCATACAGCACATAAATTAAACATTATACAATATATACATTATTATTATTGGATTAAAATTTCGCTAAGTATGTCAGGCTACGGACTTACTGATCTGCCGTTCCATTGCGTTATTTCTTTCTTCCATTTTCTTTCTTTTTCCCATTTTTAGTTTTTGTGAATTCCCTTTCTTTTTATACATTTCAAACTTTTTTTAAAATTTTTTAATCCGATTATAAAAGAATATAAACAAAAAACATTCTGTTTGCATTATCTGCTAAACATTTGAATACAAAAAGCTAAAATTAGGAAAATGACAGAAAAAGAAAAATTCTACTTTTTTTAACTTTCTTTCATTGTTGCTTTTTATATATATTTATTTCCTTTCCTTTTCATATTTTTATTCATTTGTTATTTCCATTTGCTTCTTGCATTAAACGCCTTAATTATTCTTCAGACTCCCTTATATTTTATTTTTAAATTGTTTTCACCATTCCTGGATCACAGTTTAATTTTGTACTTCAATCTCTCTCATATTCTCAGTTTTTACTTTGTTCTGATCATTTTTCTTCCTTTTCTTTTCGCCTTTCACAAACTCTTCCTTTTTAATATGCTTTCTTCTCGCCTCCCCAAATACATTCTTTTCACTCATCTACAGTTTTAAGAATCTTATTGCTTACATCATTGTAACGACTGTTAGCCAATAATTTATTTTATATATATTTTCTTATTATCTAAGTATCTCGTTTCTGTTACATAAAAACAAATTATTTTCCAGTTCCTTATTCTTTTCTTTTTAAAATTTGGTCTTCTTTTTCTGTCATTTTCCTAATTTTAGATTTTTTTTTATTCAAACGTTTACCAGATAATGTAAACAAATTGTAAGAATTGTGGTGAAGAATCTGCCTGAATATTTAGAAATGGTTAGACTTTCTCATCTGCCTTCAAAATTAGATTCAAAGAAAAAAAATCCGTACTTTTTCGACATCAAATTAACGAACAACAAAATAAGCAATATAGCTGACTTGAAATATGTCCTGTTTAACTTTCTTTGCCATGTCTTCTTGAGTCAGTATTGGGGTTGCTTTAGATGTGGTTAAAATATATTTTTAGCAGAAATGATTTAGGAAGGAAAAGTTTTCATGTTTGTGTGTGGTTTTTGTTTATTTTTTTTCTTTTGTTTTTGTTTATCTGTTTCGCTCCTATCCCCAAAATTCAAATACATTTCTGCGATGTATAAACTTGTTTATTTTTTATTTTCCTTTCTTACCATTTATTTCATTATGTTTTCACACACACTTGGACCCCCCCCCGTGGCCACATCAAGTTTTCAGCATTCTTTTTCTCTTTTGTACTTCGGTATGTGTGATTGCACAAAGACAATATTAGGAAATAGCTGTGTGGTTTCAACTTCATTCATACAGACAGACATATAACAACAGTGATTGCATTTAAAAAGACAGTTGCATCTCTGATCAGCTTGATTTAATAGGGCACAAGGTCAAATAGTGAAAGTCGAAAGGGAAGGATAATTGTGTGCTGGGAATTGTCTCTTATTAATCAGTATAAGGCTCTGTAGCGGACCAGGGGTTTACGTGTTGTTAAATTAGGAACACCTGCGTTTATTCCTGTTAGAAGAAGGTCCACTACAAGAACATGGTGGACTCAGAGATTGAATCCACGATAAAGAAGTGTAAAGAAAAAACAAGAAACCGATATATATATATATATATATATATATATATATATATATATATATATATATGACAAGTATATGTATTAAATAACAAAATTTACAATGGACATAGACATTAACATTTGTGTTTGTGTGTGAACATAAAGAATTTGTATTTTGGTGAATGTTCGTACGTAAGTGTATGTGGGTATAATGTTCATGGCGTCTCTCACAAAAGGGAAAACGCAATCTTCTGCGAGAGCTTACATTGTAGATGTGTTCGCTGAAAATGAAGAAATGAAAAAGAGAACGAGGCAAGAAATCGCCCTGTATTTATAGTGTAGGGAGAGCGTCCCCTAGTGAACAATTAGGAAATTAAGGAGGAGTTAACTCCTACAGCTCGAAAAATACATTTACTTCAGCCACTAAGTATGACGACTGTATCGGAATTACGTGTTCGCATGCAGACAGTTGTGCGTAGCCACACGCACATTACATTCTTAAGTGCCTAAAAACACAAGGGCTTTTTTAGGAAAATTTTCGATCTCCCCAACTTAGCAAGACCACGTATTTATTAATTTCGCACGATATGAACCTTTAAATAGTTTTCCGATACCTCCTTCTCCTAAAAAAAAACGCGTTTATTGCATACTGAATAAAAAAAATTCCGAGCTCCTAGTAATTTAAACCCCTCCTTAGACAACTAGCTCAACTAGTATATCCTAGCGTAGTGAAGCTGTCCACAAAGTTAAGACATACTTATATACATATGTATTATTTATGCGACTTTCATTTGGACTATAGTCCTCATTTTTGTTGTTGTCAGCAAAACATTTTGGCTATTGTAACTTCAGGTGTATAACGATCCGAATTTATGGGCAAATGGCCGAGTGGTTAGAACGTTCGCATTCTGACAGTGAGACCCTGGTTCGAATCTCATCATGGTCGATTTGTCAGGAAGGAGACTTCCTGATGTTATCGGACTGGAGGGGTCAATCCCAGCGTGCGGCACCTTTGGAAATTGCCTGAAAACCATACCACAGGTTGACCCAAGCCTTGTGAGTGAAATTGGGTAGACGAAACCCTTGTGCTAGAATGAAGTCACAAGTCATCGTGGCCGAGGGCTTGGGCGTGCTGGCCTTGTTCAAATTGTTGATCACGCTAGATAACACGCTCTTTCCCAGAATCTTTAACAAAGGTTTGCTCAGCATAGTTGCAGTATAAATCACAGGTGGGCTTTGTGGGTGTTGAATAAACACAAATGTGCCTGAGCAAGTATCTGCAATAGGGATTGGCTAGCTGCCCTAGGAGACAGGTATCCTCGAATACGAGTGGCCAGCTATACAATACAATCGATCCGAGTAACCTACAGGGAATTCCGAACTGAATCCTTTATTTAATCTACGGGTGGTAGATTTAATTCTATTATCCATGTCTTAAATTTACTGTGGCTGAACTAACGAACTTTCTAGAGATTTTCTTCTTCCTGAATTATTTTCTCTTTTAATTAGAGTAGCATATTTTATGTCAAAATTGTCCTTCCTGAGAAATCCAACGTATCAAAAAAATATATTATTCTGCCCACTAACTCTATCACATCTACAACCGTAAAGAATTTATCTAAACTCAACATAAAATTTATCACAACTACGTCTAAAACAATCAAAGACTTAATCAATACAAAACAAAACAACAAGTCAAAACTTGAAGTGGGGGGAATTTACTCTATCAACTGCTAGGATTGTTAAGAAGAATATACTGGAGAAACCTGAGGAAGTTTAGACAAAAGACTATGAACACAAAAGAGACATTTTAAAAAAACAACACAAAACGCATTGGTTGTTCGCCGTAACGAGACTGACCACTATTTTGACATAGAAAATGTTACTCTACTAATTAAAAGAGAAAATAATTCACTAAGAAGAAAATGTCTAGAAAGTGCTTTACTCGTTCGTTCAGCTACAGTAAAATTGAAGTTGAGGTTCTTACAACGATTCACCATTCTTGTCAGATTTTCTGTCATCACAATGCGGGATATTTAAAAACAAAGACGGTGGAAAGAAAAAGAATATAGATATGTAGATATTTGATTAGATTGCAAAAATTATTTCAAAACAATTTCGAAACTACAAGCGTCTCTCATTCACGCGCATGTGTAGTCCCAACAACGTCAACAAACCCAGTCCGATGAAGTCATAACGGATGAAATGCGTCACAAATAAACTTTTTCCATTCTGTCTTACAATTTTCTCAATACTGTTCTTGATATATAAAAATATATATATATATATATATATATATATATATATATATATATATATATATAATCTGTTCTTTTTATCGCCTTTTTTTTTAATTTTATTTACTCTTTCGGACATTCTTCGTTGCAGATATTTTAGTGTTTCTTGCATTGTTCATAACTTCGCGCCTCTTTACATCTAAATCGAAAATAAATATACAAATCTGCAGATAGGGAAAATGTAAGTCGGTACTTAAGCAGCAAATAAGCTGTCAATAAATTCCCACATAAGCTATTGTGCTGAAGTAGAAGGATTTTTTTTAACTGCAAACGAAGATAATTCTATCATATTTCCGCCATGTTTGTTTCTCTTTTGTCACGCTTCACAACCGCGATTCAAAATGGATGGTCTATTTTCTGTCAATTTTGGGCACAGCTTATTTGCAAAATGATTCTGCTATCTTGAGAAAACATTCAAACCTTTTGTTATGAAAAACTGAATGAGGAAGTATATTCACTGGAAACATGTTTTCTTCTGGTGTTGGGAAAATAGAGGAAAGTATTATACTTTCCTCCACTTTCTAAATATTGTAAATAACCAAGATGCTCCCCCTCCGCACGTACCCCATTTCTAAATTGCAGCATTTTTCATCATTTACACTAGCTGGCATTTTCAGAGGTTTTGTAATCTTTGGGAGAATATTTTCCCTTCTGAAAGTATTCAATTTTTTTTTTCATATTAGAACTCACTATTTATTTGCTATTTGGGGTGGGGGACAGGAGGGGTCCATGCCCAGATTTTTACATTTTTCTACACCAAAGATTTTTTTTTTTTACTGCTTTGATTTTTTTTTTTTTTTTTTTTTTTTTACTGTTATGAGATTTTTTTTAATTGTCTGTCCCTTCAGGACGTAGGCAGTCATGGTACTTCACAGACTACTTTTCTCTTTCTGGGAATTGGCAAGCATTCTTAGCTAAGGTTATGGAGTGTTTCCTTTTCGCTTTCTCCCCGTTTTGGAATTCAGAGTTTTTGTAGTGATATAGTCAAAATGGACTTGCCTTATTTTGCATAGAATCGAGCGACTACTAATAAGTCAGTCGGTACGGAGTTAGAACTTTTATATCACAGACTAAAAGACATGACAACAATATGGCGTCGCCGATAGGATCTCTGACACCGTTGGATGAGACGGACTTTGTGGAAACATGGATTCGTTGTTTTGCTGCCCAGGCGCGGGCGAAGATGTTAAAAGATCATAGAGTTGCAGGAGGGGAGAGCAAGATTACAGGTCTCTTTTTGGTTTCGGCATGATGTGAGGCCATCAGAAAGATCTCTGTCATGACATATCCCAGAGAATTGGAGCATTTAATCTTTCGGACATTATAAAGAGAAATTTGCGGCCGAAAAAGAAGTTGGTTATTGCTGAGATGACACTTTTTTCTCGCGAGCAAACAACAGCCGAACGAAATAATAATACAGTATGTACACAAGCTACAAGAGGCATCCAGATTTTGTGACTTCGAAAAACTTGGCTCTGGAGAAATGACAATCGAAAATGACTTTATACAGTTGAGATTCACTGAAGGTATGTGTGATGCTTTGTACAAACATAACATTTTAGAACAGGTACAACTGACTAAAATGTCCTTGGATTCATCTATAGAGTATCTGCAACAATTAGAATTAAATGAAAAATTCAATTCACCCAAGAGTAATGTCGAAGTATGCATTAACTTGAGCAG